GACGGCAATCGTAGTAAGCCTGGAAAGTAAGCCAGGATGACACCTGTGCCCCCTCTGTCCTTGTGCCGTGTTGGCCCCAGGTCCTACAGTGCTTTGCAGACATTCTTCTGAGACACGAGGACTCCCATCTCTGGCAACCTCCTCTCCCTCTCTTGCACCCATTCTCACATGACTTCCTGTGTACTGCTCTCTCTGTCCCAGCTCCCCTTCCCAATGCTAGCAGCTCTTACCTGCCATGCTGCCCTTTACTTCATTTGATCCTGGCCCTCTAATCTGCACTAGACAGAAGAGCATATTCTTCTGAACTGCTGAGCTTTCCATGGCTCCTCATGATGTTTAGGAGAGAGAACATTTCAGAGACTGGCTCAGAACCCTCAGTGAGTCCGCCCAGTTTGGCTCCCTACATCAAGGAACACACTCTACCCTTTCCTCTGCTCACTTCAGCAATGCTTGTTCCTGGGCTCTGTGTGTTAGTCCCAGCGTCCATTACAAAGCCAGCCTCGACAGCCGCTCACAGGAAATGGGTGGAAGACGCCCCTAGGCTTACACAAATCTGTGTATTTCTTGGTCTGTTCTCATTTTCTATGCTTGGCACCACAACCGCACACTAAGTTCATGAAGGAAACTTGCCCGCTTCATGGTGGGACCTCAGAGAGTGGCATGAGGGAGGACAAGGGCAAGGGTGTCGACGCAAGTTCCCTGTTACTGGTGTATCAGCACCCCACTCCATTCACACCAGAGGAGGAGAGCCACAAAGCACTGGTTCATAGCACTGGTTTTCTCTGAGATACTGAGATCTCTCCCGTCACCACTCTGGGGCTGTTGAGCAGCCACCTAGAAATGGTTCATGCTTGAGCGGAAGGAAGCGTCTGACATTGCCGAGAACCCAGAGTTGCAGAAACTGATCCACATTTGCAATGTCATGAATTATCACTAACTCTATCAAGAAAGATCAGGATTCTCATATACAACTTCAAGTCAGTGGAATAACAGATTTCTTGCAGACAGGATACAGCAGTAGAATGCTTACCTGGAGAGGGGGACTAGGTATTCAACAGGTCCCTAAGGTTGAGCATCATCTCCAACAGCCTCACCTCATAGACTGAGGAAGGTTTAAAGAATTAAAATTTTGCTAGTGTCATTAGACTGTGAAGTATAGAATTTTGGATAGTTTATGAGCTTTGATGGAAAATATGGGTGGAGGGTCAGGAATGCAACTCAGTGAGGGGAACATAGGTCAATGTATGTGAGCATTTAAAACAGAATGAGGAAGGGCCATTAAAATTATACATCAGGAAACTTAAGGTCCAGAAAGGGAGCTAGGACAGCAGTCCTACAAGTGTGTGATGTCAGGGGTGGGTTCTGTGGTTGAACTGGAACCTCAGCTCACTGTACTTCATAGAACCTCATGTCTATCCAAGAGAGAGTTTTGATCTCTCTCTCTCTCTCTCTCTCTCTCTCTTTTTCCCTCCCTCAATCTCAATATCTTATAGATGAAATACAGGAAGAAAATGCATCTGGGGCATTTCAGAAACTCCTGTAACCATCTATAATTTTTCTATAAGGCAACTGTACCCATCCCTGGGAAGTCACAAGACCCATTTCTCACTTTATATCTCCTCAGTCCATCTGGCAAGGTAACCATCATTAGAAGACCCTACTCATAAGGCAAGTGACTAAGGGAATACAGTGATTTACAGAAAGTCACAGAGCTAATAATTGGGGGAGACTGGGCTCCAGAGTCCTGTCTGATATGCTGCAACTCAGTACAGGGATTTTGCTCACTTTCTAGAACAAAATTTAAGGAAAATAAAGGAACATGCTTGTGCTAAGTATGTTGTGGCTTGTGTGAGGCTTTTACTTCATAGCTACTGCTTTACTCCACATGTTCAGTATCACTGTGAGATTGGTATCAACAAGTCACATGCTACAACCAGGAATCTGAGGCACAAGGGTATCTGAATGCCTTGGTTCATGGTCCCTCTTAGAACCTGGACTCAGTCCTAAACCTTCTGAAGCTGATTTATATATTTTCTCATTATATGGGAGAGAAATGGAAGGGAGAGAAATAGAGCCAAAATAAGTCTAAAATATTTCATCTGAGGTTTTCAGCAAATGCTACCTGAAGGCCATTCAAAACCAGATTACAGCAATTCTAAAGTATCCATTCAAAAGAAATGAGCATTTTGAGGCACAGTATGTATTTGTGTTCCCCTTCGCTCTGCTTCGGTGGATTGACCTTAAATAACACGCAACAGACCAACAAGCATCCCTCAGGCCGGCTGCACCTGGGGTAGGGGAAGCAGGCTTGGCGGTGCCTCTTCCACACAGGTGGCTGGGTTACTGGCAAGGCCCATCCTCTCACTCTCCCCAGTTTGTGATGGGTTCTGGGGCCACAGTGGAGGCAGAGCAGACAGAGGACCCTGCCCTCAGGGACTCTAGAGAAAAGAGAATCACGTGTGAGCAGTGATACAACAGAGCCTGTCTGTCATAAGCAGGTGCAGCGGGTCCAGGAAGCACAGAAGAAGATCTGTGAAGGCTCCCGATAGGGCAGAAACTTTGAATTGGGCCATGAGGGGGAAGATAAAGTAAGACATGGCCAGTCTCTACAGAGACACCAGCAAGAGCACAGGCAGGGACACAAAAGGACAAGAAAACAGAGCACAGCCCAGGCTCCTTCCTGAGCTTACCGTTCTCTCTGCAGTGAAGTCAAGCTGTAAATGTTTGGCTAATTTCATAAACCTGGACACGACAGAGCAGAGCTGGATCAAGGCAATCCAAATCACAAGGATCACAAGTGTGTGCAATGCACCCATCTAACCCACATTCAAGGGAGTCTTCACTACATGCAAATGTCTGTTGCACTCTCAAAATGCTTGGCTTCGCTCCAGGGTACACAGAACACACTGTTTGGAGACAGAGCGCTGCTGTTGTCCACGGCAAAGCTCTTGACCTTCAGCAGCCATAAACAACGAGGACATGCAGCATTTCCCCTTGATACAGCCCTCTTTATAGTGCCCTGAGTGTATCTTGAACAAGACATTGTATCAACACTACTGAGTCACTGACACCCCCCCGCCCCGCGCCATAGGTGTATGAATGTATATGCCTTGCTGATCTGAAGGAGTTTCTTTGGGAAATGATCCTTTCTTTGATCACGTGAGGCAACAGCATTAAAGATCATCTCACATGCACCCTCCACTTTCTATTTGATTATTTAAAAAGCCTAGTAAATGTTAAGGATTGCTAGTTCACCATTCTGTAGATGAGAGAAACCAGCAAGTTAGAGTAACGCGAGGTCGCACAACAGGTGCATGATGAATTCAGAGTTCAGACCCACATTCCTGGCTCCCAGATCTCGGCCTCTTTCTCCTACACTACAGCTTTCCATCTGCCTAGAGTGTAATAGTGTCTTCATTATGACATGAATTCCCAAATGAAATGCTGACCAGATCACATCCTCTCAGCTAACACAACTACATCATAAATTAAAAGCCCAATTCAAGAACATGGCCTTTTAACTGGAACTTACCACAGTCTCCTGAGGCCAAGATATATAGGGAGAGTACTTCCAAAGCCAATAGCTACCTATACTGGAAATTACTCAGAAATCTGCCTACCTCTAAGAAGAACTGTCAGACCATAATTACTCACCTAACTCTGCCCCCTCCCTTCTCTTAGGGTTCTCTGGACTCTGCTCCCAGGTCAGCTGAGTTAGAACCATGCCCAAACCCCCAGGCCATCCTGCACTGTAGGCAGCCCAGGAACACTTAGGCTTTGAAATACATTAAGAGTATGGGACCCTATGGAAAACATTATCCCCTAGTTCAAAGGGTAAACTGAAGCTGTTTGAAAGTGGGACAGTGTGCCAGTGGCTGAGGGCCAGAGGTGCCTCTGGGCTCCAGGCAGCAGTGCTTGTTTTCCTGGAAAGGGAGGAAAGCAGAAGGAAGGGGAGGCTTGACTGATGGCTGATAATTTTATTGCTGTTACCATCCCATCCCCAATGACCGATGCTCATAGTGCCATAACTTCAGGGGTACTCGAAGGTCCCCAGATCACACCAGTTACCACTTCCTTGCCTAAATATCTCCTACAGTGTCTGCGTTTCCAGCTTGGTTTATGAAGGAAGAGCATTTCTAAACTGCAATGCATCCCTTCCCCAAAGACTGGGCCTCTGATTCAGCCTGGTCCACCCAAAATGATGACCATAGTCCCCTCTACCCCAACAAGGTCTTCTTTTTAAGCCTGCCCTGGGTTCACTGGCTCAGGCGGCCTGAAAAGGCAGAGGTCTGAATGAGCCCTTCAGCCTCCACCTGGGGAGACCATCTCATTTACCCAGCATCTCCCCACCAATCACAAGACCTGCCCAGATGTGTGGCAAGACTAGAGGACAGATAAATGAGGGGAAATAGAGGCAACACACATTTCGCGGCAGAATCCCTGCTCAGTAATAGAAAGCTATCCAACTAGCAACCGCGCTTCCAGAAACGTCACTGCCACAGAGGAGCGAGTTTTGCAGCTGCCCAGCAGCTCGGCGCTCTCGCCTACCTGTCTCCCACCGCAGGACTCCCCTCGCTCACCTCCTCAGGCCCAGTTACAGCTCTTGGTGTCCCCAGTTCTCTTCCTAGGGTCTTCCTCAGCCGCCAACACTGGCAGCGACGATGGGCGGACCGAGGAGTCCGTGGCACCTGCGAGCCTGAGTCTCGGGTCCCCGCTGCGAGGCTGCCTGGAGGAGGAGCGAGAGGATGCTGCCCTCGCTGCCGCCGCCGCCAATACCGCCACTGTGGTGCTGATGCGGTTGCTATGGTTATGGAACTCCGCAGCTGCCCCCTCTTGGTGCAACAGCTGCCGGTCCACAAGGGCCTCCAGGCAGCCCCAGCGAAGGCGCCCGACGCAAGGCTGTGAATATGGTTAAGGGGATTCTCCCGCCGCCGCCACGCCGCCACCGCTGGAGAGAAAACCACCACCGAGTCCACCCTGGTCTCACCCACTCCGCTCACCTCCGTCGCCCTTGCTCCTCTCCTTCCCCCGCCGGGACTCGGCCAGACTCCAGCGCCCGTGCTGCGCCCTTGCGGCCTGGAGAGCCCGCCCTGCCGCTCCCGCTGGCTGAGCTCCCGCGGCCGCTGCACCGGGAAGGCTGCGAGGTGCCCGGGAGGCGCTGCTCCTGCTCCCCCACCGCTACAGCTCCCTGCCTGCAGTGTGCCAGGAGAGCCTGGGCTCCCTGTCTGCCCAGAAGCCAAATCCCTCCAGCTCCCCAGCTCGCTCCTGAGCTCTCCTGCCAGCCAGCCCGGCCTGTGGAGGGCGCAAGCTGCTGGACCAGATGTCTGGCCCTTGCCAGCCCAGGCCGGCGGTGAGCATGCTCAGTCTCCACGCCAGGACCGTCCTGAGCTGCAATAGGATGCAGTTGGAAGGAAAAGGTCCTTTTCAGACCCCGGGGGAGAGGGTAATTAAGCTTGGAAGAAGAACCAGGGGGCAACAACATGCCCAAGGAAGACGGAAAGCGCTATGCGACCCAAAGGGCCGATACCAAGTAAGCCGTGTGGCAACCAGCTTACCCACCGTTTATCAGTCGGCTTCACGCTGGGCACTGGGGCCTCAGAGGTGTGCAAGATTTGATCAATGGAGGGAAGGATCTGGAAAACGTTAAGTCAATCCCTGTCTCCTGGCCATCAACTGACCGACTGCAGTTTACGCGGGAATTCATCATCTCAATATCCCTGTGCCAAGAAGTTCTCATGGCACACTTGTTACTGGGACAGAACAGCCTTAAAGACGTTGGAAGTCCAACGCTCCCTCCATTTAGACAAAACTGCACTAACGCTAGTGTGAGCCTCGGGCTGTCGGGCTGAATTGGAGGGTGACCATCTCCTAAATGAGCTGTGGGAAAGGCAGCTATGAGCGAAAAACTTGAAAGAAGGATAAGCACAACCCGAGCAGGCAGTGATTAGTGGGGAAGAACACTCCGGAACGAGGGGGGCAGGCACCAGCCTCAAAACAAGACATGCAGGACTGGGTTTTGATCCATATGGGGTTTCGGTATGGCTGGAACAGAGTGAGCTAGGGAAGGTAAGATGCCATTGTGATGCAACCCAGGACTGTAGAATCCAGGAGAAAAGGTGGACTTGAAGACAGTGGGGCCTCTGAAGGCAAGCATAAAGCTGGAACACCTAGCTGGACATCGCGGCAGTGGGTGTTGAGGCTACAGGAAGTGGTACCCTGAGAGCTAATGGCACAGAG